ACTAGTGTCTTCTGGGGATTAAACTGGACTAGATTTAGTCGGCCCCAATCCGAGACTTTGTTAAGCAAAGAATCGACTTTAGACACAAGTTTGTCCCGATACTCAGCGACGTTTTCCCGAGAAATATTGGCACAGCCGGTATATAAGGCATCACCAGTGCTGTCGTCTGCATAGCAATGAATGCTACCATACATACATACATACATAAACACTCACGCCTGTCACCCAGAGGGGTAGGCAGAGACTACGGACTTCCATTTGGCGCGATCCTGACACACCTCTCTCGCCTCTTTTACATCTATATATCTACGCATACACGCTCGTCGGTTAAGGGTACTCCTAATCTGGCCCATTTTTAATGTATCGCCGATTTGGTCGATAAACCTTCGTCTAGGGCGTCCAGTTAGCAACATATCACTGATATGCAGGAGAAACAGCGTTGGTGATAGCACGCAGCCTTGGGGAACACCAGCGTTGATAGGCTTGAAATCAGAGCATGTGGCATTCCCATATTTCTCGGGAAAACGTCGCTGAGTACCGGAACAAACTTGTGTCTGAAGTGGAGTCTTTGCTGAACAAAGTCTCGGATTGGGGGCGACTAAATCTAGTCCAATTTAATCCTCAGAAGACACAAGTTTGCGCGTTTACCGCTAAAAAGAACCCCTTTGTCGTATCTCCTCAGTTTCAAGGCACTCCCCTTCTTGCCTCAGCCAGTATCGGTATCCTCGGAGTCGACATATCGAGTGACGTGCAGTTTCGTGGTCACTTGGAAGAGAAGGCCAAATTGGCCTCCAAAAAGCTTGGCGTGCTCAGCAGAGCGGGACAGTATTTCATGCCGGTACACCGCCTGCAACTTTACAAGGCGCAGGTTCGGCCTCACATGGAATACTGTTCCCATCTCTGGGCAGGGGCTCCCCAGTGCCAGCTCCTTCCACTTGACCGCATCCAGCGCAGAGCGGCTCGAATCGTCGACGACCGAGCCCTTTCCGATCGGCTCGATTCATTGGCACTGCGAAGAGATGTTGCATCTCTTTGCATTTTCTTTCGCATCTACCATGGGGAGTGCTCTGAGGAATTGTTCGGATTAATCCCAGCCGCCAAATTTCACGAACGCACATCGCGGCAGAACTCCCGATACCATCCACACCATCTGGATGATTGGCGGTCCACCACTGTGCGATTTAGAAGATGTTTTCTTCCTCGCACAACTTCCTTGTGGAATAGTTTACCATCAGGGATTTTTCCGGACCGATACGACTTAGGGACCTTCAAGAAAAGAGCCTACTCCTTTTTAAAAGGCCGGCAACGCATCTGCAATTCCCCTGGTGTTGCGGTTGTTCATGGGCGGCGGTAGTCACTTACCATCAGGTGAGCCGCATGCTCGTTTGCCCCCTCTCCTATAAAAAAAAAAAAAAAAAAAAAATGCACCGTCTACTACGACCTTGATGCTTCGATCAGCAAGGAAACTGGTGATCCAATTAGAAGCCCATAGGAAGGAAGCTTCGAAAGAAGCGCTTTATGCCAGACCCGATCGAAGGCCTTCGCTATGTCCAAACTAACGGCCAATGCCTCCTCTTGGACTCTACTGCCTCCGCCCATCTATGAGTCAGATAGACTAGAAGATCACCAGCTGATCGACCTTGACGAAAACCGTACTGGCGGTTACTAATCAACTGGTGATCCTCAAGGTACCTCATGAGCTGGCAGTTTATAATGGATTCCATTATTTTGGAGAACAAGGAGGTGATGGCAATAGGCCTGTAGTTGGACGGGTCTGAGCGGTCGCCTTTTTTAGGGATCGGGTGGACGAAAGCTGTCTTCCATGAATTCGGGACTACGCCTTGGGAGTAGGAGTACCGGAAAAGGCGCGTTAAAACCGGTGCCAACTCCGGAGCACAAATCTTCAGCACAATGGGAGGGACTCCATCGGGCCCACTCGACTTGCTGACGTCCAGGGAGAAGAGTGCTTTGCGAACCGAGCGCTGTGTAAACCGCACATCCGACATGGAGCTCTCACATCGCGCGATGGTCGGCGGTGTGTTCCCCCCGTCATCTAGAGTCGAATTGGACGCAAAAAGAGAGTTCAATAGATCAGCTTTCGCCTTTGCGGCATGGGCCAGTGAGTCGTCCTCTCTGTGCAGAGATGGAAGAGATGGCTGACAGAAGTTCCCTTGGACAGCCTTGGCGAGAGACCAGAATGCACGGGTTCCCGAAGGAAGGCGAACTAGCTTCTCGCCAATTCTGCCGACGTGCTCAGACCTTGCCTTGGCAATGACGCTTTTAAAGGACCTGGAGGCGTTATTATACTTCTTTTTAAGTGCGCTGGTGTTTACATCCCGAGACGTTGATGCGTCAACCCAGGCCCGGTAGCCGTCCTGCTTATAGCGTGATGCTATTTTACAGGAGCAACCAAACCATGGCTGGGATCTGCCTCCGATGGGCACCACAGAGGATGGAGTAACAAGTTCCATACACTGAATTACCACATCAGCAACAGAATCGGCAACATGGCTGGGATCTTCCGGCGAGAAGCAAACCCGCCCCCATGGGTAGGATGCAAAAAAAGACCACATCCCGTCCCAATCAGCTGACCTATAGTGCCAAACACGGCGGCAAGCTGCAGATCGCAACTGCGATTGGAGCGTGAGTGGCACCGTACTCCGGATCAGACAATGGTCCGAAGAGCCCAGAGGAGCATCGACGGAGACCTGATATCCGTCCGGATGAGAGGTCAACAGAAGGTCCAACAGGGAAAGTACATGGTCTTCCACATCTGAGATCCGCGTCGGCGAAGTAACCAGTTGTGTTAGACCATATGCCAAAGCAAAGTCATAGACAGATCTACCCGCATCATCGGTTAAAAGAGAACGAAGCCATTCAGCATGGTGGGCGTTAAAATCACCGAGTATCACGATCTCTGCGGATGGGACCTGTTGTAGCACGGAGTCTGCAGCCATTTGGATGTGGTCGATGAGTCGGTCTGTGTCGGCATTACCGCTATGGGACCTATAGAGGCACCCGTAGACGCCGGGATGGTCGTCGGTGTCTACGCGCAGCCATAGGATAGCCATAGGAGCTTGAATACGGTGCCATTGTATGGAATCCCTATGAGGAGAAATATATTTTGATGATAGAGAGAATACAGCGCAAATTTGCACGATGGCTATATAAGCAGCATTACGTTTATTTCCCCTATCTATATCCATCCTTATTTGTTACTGGTATGGTGGGCTTTGACACTCTTAAACTTAGGCGGACTATGCAATTGATAACATTCTACCTAGCAATCATCCATAATGAAATAGATAGCCCGACGATATTAAGCAGAGTGGGGTTATTGGCTCCGAAGCGGCTGGGTTATGATGGTGAGGGGACAGTGGCACCGCGGCGGCGGCCGCGTCTTATGTGGCGGCCGCCGGCGCGCTCCAGGTGCGGCGCTCACGCGCCCACTATTCGCGCTATACGCCTTATTGGAGATATGCTCGCATATGATTACGAGACTGACTTATTTGCTGATAGCTTTAGGCAACTATGTAATAAAGCCCTTCTATTTTTGACATTCAATTTTGACATATTGTAATATATTAATTTAATCTTAGCTTAGTTCATTTGAAAATTTGTTTACTCTATTTGACATAGTATTATCTTCTATTTGGCATCTATATTTTTTTTTTATTTGGAGATGTTTCTTAATCAATTACTTATTATTTAAAAGTGTAATTTGTAAATTAGTATGCTGACGTTTTGGGCATACTGTAAGCCAGTATGTACACTGTTTTAAAATAAATAAATAAATAAATAGGATGGACAGGTCCGTACCTTCAAGACTGCCGAGGCGTCGAAAACAGATGTCCTCTCTGACGTATACGCAAACTCCAGCCCGGGGCACAAAGGAGTGTTCCAATTTGTACCCCGGGTAGGAGAGCTATGAAGTATCAGCCGGAGAGGACACCTGAGTCTCGGTTAAAAAGAGCAAGGCCTGCTTCACCATCTCTAGATGGTAGTGGACAGCGTTAAGGTTGGAATAAAGTCCCCTGATGTTGCAAAAATTCAGGGATAGCGTGACAGGGGTCGCCTTGGTTGTATTGCTCCGCTTGCCCCGAGCAGCATTAGTCGCGAGCGGAATTTTGCCCCCCCCCCCCCCCCCCCCCCAGAATACACGAGGCTGCCTGAGCACCCACGCTCAGGAGTGAAGTAGTTTGTTCGTGGTTGCTCAGCGAGGGATCCTCCAGGGGTGCTGGTACCCTCCTGGGGTAGTCTTTTATTTAATTCCACTACCATGTTGATGGGGGGGGGGGATTGGGTCTCCGGCCACCTGCACTCACCAAGCGAAACGCAGAGGTAAATTTCTACTTCACGCTGGTATTCTGTGAGGTCGTGGTACCACCCCAGTTCGAGCTGGCCCATCCGTGCGACAGCAAAAGCTACCGCTTAGCTCTACCATTGTTTAAACGAAAATGACTATCTGCCTGACATCCTGTAATTAATAAAATTAAATTTAAACCATTCCACCCAACCAAACCAGTGCAAAACTTCAAGACACTGTAAGCTAGTTCTGCGTAAATCGGACCAAAATCTAATATTCAAAAGCCATGGAAATGTATGTACTTCGTACAAACTGGAACCCTCATTCTCGAATGATATAAAAAATACAAGAAAACGACCTTGAATTTTTCAATACCCCTCAGTCTCTTTCTGATTAGGGTGAACACAAAATACAAGAATTTGGGATATTATGGGGAAAAATCAGTTTATTTTTATCATATTCATTTATAAAATTTTAATTTAATTGAGAATATTAGAGTTCCATTTAAACGCATCATATTAGAAAAATTCATAAGGACGAATCTGCGGGCGGAAGTTTATTAATTAATATTATTTATTCGTGTACATTTTGTCAATAACCGAATAAACGAGTGAACGGGCTCAATATACAAAACTTTTACCATGAACTCAGACCATCATCCAAAAATTGTAATTTAATTGAAAATAGTATTATTTTACTGTAGTACTTTATGGTACACAATATTTTTTGTTTGATTACCTGGCGCGTAAACAAACAGTGCAGATGGTTTTCCAACACGGGAACAGGCGACATACTTGGCCATGCAAGAAACATGGGTTTTCTAGATTAATACCACAAACACTTAATGTTTGCCCCTGTGATTTATTTATAGTCATAGTGAAAGTAAGCCGTACTGGAAACTGTGGTCGTTTAAACTCGAATGGTACGTCAGTCGGAATCACTGGGATGCGGGGTATCAAAACTTCTTCTCCTTTATACTTTCCTTTCAATATGATTGCTTCTATTACTTTTTTTCTATTACATTATTCAGTAATTTTTTTTATCGCTAATCGTGTGCCGTTACAAAGTTGCGGTTGGTTAATATTTTGCAACAATATAACTACAGATCCAACCCTTACTTGAAGATTGTGAGGCGGCAATCCAGGCAAATCAAGTGAGTTTAAAAATTCCGGTGGATAGTTCACGATATTATCTTCATTAGTTGTCGTATCAACTGATTTATATGTCCTCATTTCGCCAGGAATGTCATCTTAAATTTTGAAATTTAATTCATTTACATCAGTGTTTTTGGCAGCCAGTATATTTCGTTCGCTCAACCAATCATGGAATAAGTAATTTTGAGCAACATTTGGAAACAACTTTTGAATGTGTTCAGCTTTTGATTGCGTTAACTGACAAAAACGCTCAGGAAATGTGATGCAGCCAGTCAGCACATCTATAGGAAATTTGCCATTACCAATATCAATGAGTTGTTTAGAGAATATGTCTCCACATTGATCATTTTGCAACATGACACGCATATTATTGCTTAAATGTAATACCTTGACATGTTTCCACAAATTGGAGGACTTTAAACATGCATTCAGTTCATCAGCTTACATTGAACGTGGAACCACTGGCAATGTTTGGCAAAAATCTACTGATAATAAAATCATTGCGCCACCAAATTGGTTTTGGTTATTCCGTAGATCTTTCAAGGTTCTATCTAAAGCCTCTAAAGATTTTGTATGCACTATCGTGCATTCATCCCACATTATTAGTTTACATTGCTGCAAAACCTTTGCCATTGCCGAATTCTTGGAAATGTTAAAGGTTGGAGTTTCGTTGCTTTGCATATACAATGGCAATTTTATAGCTGAATAGGCTGTTCAACCGCCTTCAAGCAAAGTTGCTGCAATGCTTGACGAAGCAAGAGCTAGAGCAATTTCATTTTTTGAGCAAATTGTTGCAAATCGATTCTTTCAAAATGTTGAGATCATACGATTTTTCACGTTGTAACTCTTGATGAAAAGCATCGTGCATTGAGCGATTGGGCACGGCCATCTCGCCATTGGACATAATAGATTGTTTGACATTATCAAGCACATATACTTGATGGAAATCAATGCCTGATTATAAATTTTTTCACTTATTTGTAAATTCAGATTCCCTGTTCTATTGCGTATATTAAATAAAATATCGTCACACAAATTATCTTTGTATTTTATCTATATGATAATGGAAAACAATGTTCGTATTTGATGAGCTTGTGATGAAATTACAGCATCATTGAGAGTTTGATCCCAATGTGCATCGGTTTCTAACAGTAGCAAACGATGACAGGCTTCTCTGTAAGATCCACACAATTCACCATCAACTGTTCGTAAATGTTGGAAAGATGTTGGGCCACGCACATTGACTAATAGCAGCTGTAAATAAAAACATTTTGTTTTGCCTTCCCGGAACCCCTCCACTAAAACTTAAACTTTATGAAATGGCATTAAAGTTCAAATTGACTTTTAAGTATTATTTTGAATCTTTTGTATGGGAATATAGAAAAGTGTTGTTTTTAGAATTTTTCAGGCAATTTTTTAAATTTTTCTCTCCGTAAGAACCATCTTCATACTTCAAGTAATATTAAAAAAAGAATTAGCGTAATCGGTTCAGCTGCTCTCGAGCTTTGCGCTTAGAAACACATTCTGCGATTCATTTTTATATTATAGACTAGCTAACCCGGCGAACTTCCTACCGTAATGTTACCATCGTATAAATATTGACAAATATTTATACGATACGATACGATATAATATTTATGCGATACTAACGTCACTCAATTTTTTTGCCTTGCCAGAACCCCTCCACTAACACTTAAACTTTATGGTATGGTATTAAAGTTCAAATTGACTTTTAAATATTATTACGAATATTTTGTATGGGAATATAGAAAAGTGTTGTTTTTAGACTTGTTCGGGCAATTTTTTAAATTTTTCTCTCCGTATGAACTATCTTCGTACTTCAAGGAACATTGTGAAAAAAATTAGCGAAATCGAATCAGCTGCTCTCGAGATTTGCGCTTAGCAACACAATCAGCGATTCATTTTTATGTTATAGAAGATGTAAATGTGAAATAAAATACAAACAAAAGTAAATTGTAAAAATGTATAATCAATAACGAAAAATAACTTACTTTATATATCTACGTCCAAATATTGTGACAGTATCTTTGAGACGAAAAAATTTCATAAGTGGGTTTCAGGAGCTACGTAAACAAGTCGCGCAGGCTCCTGATATTAAATTTTTGAACACATTCTTTGAAACACCACTGTCTTAAACTTTATTTGAAATTCTTCGTTGAACCAACTTAAATAGTAAGGAACATAAATAAAATTACTTTTAAAATCTCAAAACTTAACAAAAAACCCTTTATATGTTATTTTCAGTTTTTGATTTGATTTGTTATATTATAACTCTTAATTTATAATGAACTTTATACTATCCATCCATTACAGCCAATAAAAGTCCTCTACTGAACATAGGCCTTCCCCAGAAATTGTCGCAGGCGGGTGGGCAACCACGGTATTTTATGGTACTGATCATCTCTGTTTCAGATTCCCTCTGTTGTCTCTTACAGAACCCACGGCACGACATGTGGTGTATATTTTAACAACGTCACTACATGGTAAATACTCTACCAATCAAATCAAAGCACATGAACCTGAAACATTAGCAGGATCGCCTTACAGCTAATTTTCTACCACGACACTTGTGCTCTAATAATCGGTGTCTGCTTACTTCGCAAGTAACCTGTCCTGTCCTGCCTATCTTTTAAGTAATAACTTATTAAGCAGACTGTACATTTTGTAAATATTTTTTTTGATAAAATACAAGTAAGTGTGGCTAACGGGAAGTTTGAATAATAGTAAATAAATTCTGTAACCTAGACCCACCCACACCTAGCCTCGATTAAGTATCAAAACAAAGATGAGTTGTCGCCTAGGTAAAGTAAGATAGAATGGTTCTTCAGCCTTTAAATTTCAACAGCTGGATGCGGGCCTCTCCTATTTTAAAATCAAAATATTGCTTTAATCGTCATGCCTGACAGGCGGATGCTTGTTCACGTCGTGGTCTAAGTGTTTTACGCCTGTGGCAAAGAAGATGCTCACAATATCCACGGAACAACATTGGGCGATGGGTTCTGTTATGACGTCATCACACGGCAATCGAATTTTTCGGTATGAGTAAAATGGTCTCTTATTCTCTACATTCACTATATAAATCAACGCGTGAGTGCACGTGTGTTTATGTTCGAGAGCTTGTGTGTGTTTTCGTCTCTGTTTCGAACTATCATCATCATCATTACAGCCTTTCACAAGTCCACTGCTGCCACACTGTTGTTTGGAACTATATGTATGTACTTTATCTATACATATAATAAATCTGTAGAAAAGTCGTGTCTTTAATTCTAATATATTCTTGAAAAAACAAGTCCAGGGGACTAAATAAAGGAGAATCCAAATTAGGGGTTTTTAGACTTTTTGTCTGTCTGTCTATCTGTCTGTCATTCTCTCTGTCTGTCTGTCTGTCTGTGTATTCCCGATTCACGCAAAAACTACTGAACCGTTTTACATGAAATTTTGTATGTAGGTAGTGAGTAACCCGGGGCAACTTATAGGCTACTTTTTATCCGATTACGGAACTTCAAAAAGGAAGGTTAAGTAATTATTTCCTTTAGATATTAATTTTCTATTATATCTTAGTTAAAGGCGGATGACGGGTGTTTTTCAAATAAATACCATATTTGTAAATAAAATTTAATATATAGTTATAATCTTGGTAAATTAATTTGAAACTACACGAATTTGGTTTTCAAAACCGCGCCATCTATCATAATATGGAAAAAATAGTATATTGTGCCTTCAGTTCTTAATAAATAAAATAATATAACTTACATTTGTATGATTTAATGATCAAATTTTTAAAATTATTAAAAGATTCTAACGTTTCGCTTTTATAATTTTTGTTATATTATTTTAAAAGTGTATAATAATTTTAATAGATAATATTGACGTCTATCAAAAATATGAAAATTGATAAGGTATTTATTTCAGTTACTAATATAAATATGTAAAGTGATTAAAACTGGTTTGTTTGCAATTGCAAAATTATAGTTTTATTAAAGAGATTTTTATATATGTCGTGCCCAGATCGTAGAATTGATCATATATCATAAAGTAGTCTATCAGTTCGTGAAATGGTGTGGTCATTTCATGATATTTAACCCTATTTTTGTCCATGTCATTTTTTTTATAGGATAAACGAGTATGCGGCTCACCTGATGGTAAGTGACTACCGCTGCCCATAAACAACCGCAACACCAGGGGAACCAGGGGAATTGCAGATACGTTGGCGGCTTTTTAAAAAGGAGTAGGCTCTTTTCTTGAAGGTCCCTAAGTCGTATCGGTCCGTAAAATCGCTGGTGGTAAACTATTCCACAAGGAAGTTGTGCGAGGAAGAAAACTTCTTCTAAATCACACAGTGGTGGACCGCCAATCATCCAGATGGTGTGGATGGTGGCTGGGATTAATCCGAATAATTCCTCAGAGCACTCCCCGTGGAAAATGCGAAATAAAATGCAAAAATATGCAACATCTCTTCGCAGCGCCAATGAATCGAGCCGATCGGAAAGGACTCGGTCATCGACGATTCGAGCTGCTCTGCGCTGGATGCGGTCAAGTGGAAGGAGCTGGCACTGGGGAGCCCCAGCCCAGAGATGGGAACAGTATTCCATGTGAGGCCGAGCCTGCGCCTTGTAAAGTTGCAGGCGTCATGATATAGCTTGACTAAATTAATGAATAGAAATCGTTTGAAGATATTAATAACTAAACACTACGTTGCTATTTCATAATATGGTCATATGAGAATATAATTAAATCGCTTTTCACCGCAAGCGGCGCTGATAGCGTATTTTTTAACAGAAACAAACCTTTTAACAGAATTGAGATCACTTTATCCTTTATTGATATAATAAATGTTCGCTTCTATTTCTGACATAACTAGATAATATAGTTTTGGTTTGGCTTTCATTATTTCATCTAATATTAGCGTCACCTACTTACTTATAAATAAACTAAAATGGCAAGTCATTGATAAAATTAAATAATAAAATGCTTCTGAATACACGATGTAAATAATTGAATCATTTACAATACATTCATCCCGCGTAGGAATCAGCGCAGCGAACACTTTTTTGGCCAAAAACTCTGCGACCTGTGCCCAGTAGTTACATGTATGTAAGCTGCTACTTTTTTTACCTTTCATGAGGCAATATATGTAGTTTTTATTTCATTCGTGTTTTCGGGTATGTTACTTTTTGTTTTTTTTTATATTCAGAAATTAAAGATGAGTAGAACTCATTATCGTCAGCCTGTCAAAAGTCCACTGTAATGAACATAGGCCTCCCCCATAAATTGTCAAGGAGCTGGATATTTGCTATAGTTGCCACGCCTGGTAGCGGGGATGGTAAACGCAACTATTATTATTTTGTTCTGTTGTCAAGAAGATGATGCAGCCCATCCCATCTCCAGTTTGTTTTCCTATGTCGCCTCTTACGACGGGACGATATGATGGATTTTCTTTCACCGCCACAACAGGGCGAACATTTTTCTACTCCCGTTCATGAGTATAGTGCTTCTCACGTTCACTGTGAATAAAACTAATAAGGAATAAAACTAATTTTAAGGGTTTTATCACGTTTAATTTTAACTTTTTAAATTTCCGATGTTTTGGGCACTTTGCAGCACCCATGGTTACGGGAGGGGCGAGAGAACTGAGGTCTGACGACCTGATGTCATAGTTA